AATTGAGTTGATGCATTGCAAGCATTAACTCCCTTAATTGCCCTTCTATTTGTGCCATTGCACTCTTCATTTCAATAAGTTTTGTCATGATAACACTTAAAAAAGAGAAGATGTCTAATATCACTCAAGATAAATAGAAGAGAGGACTTGAGAACAAAAAAAATATTATGAACGATATCAGTTTAGAAGAGGATAATTTATAACTTCTAATATGCTTATGTCTTATGAAGAGAAAGGAATAATCCACTCTTAATCAATATTAGACAAAGCTCTGATATTGTAAGTGCATTCTTGTCAATTTGTCAAAGACAAGAACTTGATAAAAATAAATAAACAAGTAAGACTTTTTTCAAAAAAAGATGAAAAAATAGAAATAACTAAATATGTATATTGAGAAAGAAATTGGAATGGCTATTACCAAAAGATGAGAAAGCTAGAGATCCTTGAAACTAGACTATAAACAAGAAAGGAGTTGACAAGAGTAAAGAAGGCTTTACTCTTATCTCTATACATACTATCTATCTAGGAGCTACGTGGCGACATTCTATAGGACCTTCAAAAAACGTGTTGACTTTGTACAACATGTATCTTAACTTGCAAGGCAAGTTTTCTATGTGGGTGCCACATAGTTAGCTTATTCTACAAGCTACCAACATGTGTGGCACGTGGTTAACTTGTTCACTAAGTTTCTAACCTATCAATTAAGTATAAACATATATAAAGTCAAAGCAATGTCTATGAAGCTTCTAAGAAGCTTGTACAGAAGATATTATGAAATTAATCTACTTTTACCTACTTCTATGTATTCTTATTATCTAGATAATAATTACAGTAAACATATGTCCATGACACTATTTTATATCTGTGGTTGTCTTTTCTACTACTGACATAAGATTTGGAACTACTATATATATCAATTACTCATATTATAATTACTTCTTCATAAAGGTTATCTCTGTAAGTAAGTCTTTGATTGCAGGTTGTCTTTTTTCTTCACATGATGTGAAGGTAGGAAGAATTACCTTACATCTTTTGTCTTTAAAAGAGATTGTCGTTGCTACTCAATCAACTTTTTTATTTTGCATCTCTAGCCATTGCATATTAAGGATAACATCATACTTTAGTTTTGTCACCTTGAATCTCTCTCTAAAGACTTAGATGTCTATCAATCTCATGGTTTCTTCTTTACATGTCTCATTCAACACGTTTTTTTAGTCATCTGCAAGGTATATACTTCTTTTCTTGATTTCTTTGGTTTTAATTCTTAACCAATTGATAATTTTATTTGAAATGTAATTTTTTGTAGAGCTACAATCAATAAGTACTTGATATTGTTGTCTTCTTAGTAGTCCCATTAGATGTACTACTCGATATTTTTTATAGTTATCCAAGGCTATGCCATTTGTCTCTGAAAGATAGTAGCTACTCCCAATACTAGCCTTTGGTGCCTTTACTAGGAAGTCCCATTTTTTTTGTTTTAACTCATTATTGGCTTGGTGAGTTTCAAGACTATGAACTCACCTTATCTTGTTGGTACTTGCTCTTTGACATTTAGGAAAACCTTCAATCTCATGGCTTGCCTCTCGACAATAGAAACACATCTTTTTTTGTACCAATATTTATTATCTTTGTGGTATCACTGATCCTTATAAGACATCAATTTCTATTGGCATTGGTTGTTGTGCCATAATATTAAAAAGCGACATAAGGCTTTGTGCTTTAAGTCATGCTCCACAATTTCTAAAATCTATAGCTTTGAACATCTCTACAATCCAAATCACTTCTTCAAATGTTTGTGGATCCTTTAGCTCTATATCTCACTAGACTTCAGGTTTCAAACCTCGTAGGAATCATTCTATCATCTGTGCCTCTAAAATATTGTCAATTTAGAGACATATGGACTTGAATCGAGAGACATAATCTTGCATTGACTTAGTTTGTTTAAGATTTGTCAACTCATTGTGTACAATCTTTTTTGCATTGATGGGCAAAATTGATTCTCAAACTCTGTCTCAAACTCCTTCTAGTCACAAAATTCACCTTGAACTCCATAGCTTTGAACTCAATAAGGCCACCAAATGGCTGCTATATCCCTCAAATAGTTGGCTGAATATATAATTTTTTTAGTGGTATTTGCTCTGGATAGTTGGAGGTATTGTTACAAGTTGAAGAGCCATTGACATACATCTTCTTGTCTTGAAGTTCCAAAGTATGTACTATGCTTACTCAATTTCAATCTGGCAAATATCGACTCTCTTATCTTTGAAGCTTCTATTTGGCCTTGCAAAGTAGCTATCTGGCCTAAGAGGCATTGTATTTGAGCCTCTATCTAGGATTGCTCCTCTACATCTCCCATACTATAATTTCTCCAATAGACTCCACTATTGTAATATCTTTTCATCTCCCAATTGACTTTTTAAAAGTAGCTCGTAATAGCCTCAATACAGTACCCAATGTAACCACAACAACTGACCTTAGACTATATGATGACTACTAATATGCTACCAAAAATAAATAGTCTAATACTCGCTCTAATATCAATAAAACATGACCAAATTATTTCAAAAACCTAAGATCCTTCTAGTCCACAGCAACATAAAATCTCATTACGAAATATGACAAAATAGACCAAAATAGAATTGAACGGAACTACACAAAATAAGACATGAAAGACAACTGAGCAAATGGAAACAAAACAGAACAAAACTGAACAAAAGGATCCAAAACCAAACTTTACTAAGAAAAAAGATCTGAAGCCATATTTGACCAGATGTCCCAAAAGACCCTGGCCAGTCCTATTTATACCTTGTCCTACCACCCTAGACTTTTTAGAATGTTCCTATGTGGTGGAATCCACCTAATTAACCACTATAAATTTCTTTTTTATAAGGTTTTATGATAGGCTCCACTTGGATAACGGCCCTAAGCCTTTTCTAGAAGGTTCCATGGTGGGCCTCATCTAAATAATCATACTAAATTCTTCTAAAATATTCCATGGTGGATTCCACTTCATCTACTAACTTAATCCTAATTCTAGAAACTTCCATAGTTCTAACTATCTATATAATTATCTTTTCTTTATCTTGTTACAATGGTCTTATAATAGATCCTAAAAAAATTCAAACTATAATAGATTAAAAAGATTCTAAAAATAATAGAACAAACTTAAGTAGAATAAAGAAATTAAAAAAGAATTTAAATTTTTAAAGATAATTTTTATTTTATATTAATTTCATATAGCATTGACTTTTTCAAAGCATTTTATTATAGAAATAGATGTATTGTACTTTGTCTTGGATATAATATTAACAAAAATAGAAGAAAATGACAAACTTCATCTAAAAAATTATTTAGCAGCCAAGATGAACTAAAAAAAAAAAAAAAAAAAAAAAAAAAAAAAAATTATGCAATTATAGATTTATTTCAAAAAATGGCATCATTATTTAGAAGATGTTTTTAGTTCAATGACTATTTATATGGATCACAAGAACCTTAAGTGTTTTATGTTAGCATGCATCTTGAATTATTGGCATATCAATTAGAGTATGTCTATGTTAAGATTTGTATTCAATAGAACTTATCAACTAAGAAAACAATTATGGTGTTTTATTTCTATAGATTTTATCATTGATCTTTCAATCTCAAATTCATATGATTCTATATTTGTGATAGTAGATTATTTCATTAAGATGGTACATTTTGTACTATATACAAAATATATCACATGTGAAGAACAATTAAATTTTTTCTTGACAATATTTATTACTATTATGGATTACCAAGGTATATTTTATCTAATAGAAGAATTCAATTTATTTTAAGATTTTGGAAAATCTTTTTCAAGATATTGAAGGTAGACATAAAATTATCTTTGACTTTCCATTCTTAAATTGATGGACAAATTAAACATATAAATCAAGTCTTCAAGCAATATCTAAGATACACCATTAACTGCCATCAAGATGATTATACAATTTTTTTTTTATTAGTAAAAATTTGCCTACAAAAATATAATACATTGACCTTTCTATGCAAATTATGGTTATTATTCACTACTTAATACTTTTAACTTTACAAAAGTTGATAATTTTGCAATGGAAGATCAGACAACTTATTTATCAATTTTTTTAATTCTAATTTAAATATTATATAAGATTGTGAAAGAATAAAATTGAATTACATTTCTATAATATAAAATAATTTAAGTACATAATCAAGGATCACACCTTTATACCAAGAAGTACATTGTTATACTATTCATTAAATACATAATTAATTTTTTTACAATAAATAAATAAATATATACATAAATAACATCGCCCGGGGGTAGTGGTGTGAGCCTTAAACTCTGATCACACCACTGCTGATGTCGAGTTGCAGTGACATAAAGCAGTTCGACTGGGGTAGTGGCCTTTTGATGAAGAATGTAAAAACTCATCGCCATCCTCACTTATGTGCTTCAACGACACCTGCAGAGCAAAAGGATACAATTCGAAGTAGACTTTCCCTGCATCCATCAATTTGTCCACACTGCGCTTCTACTTATGGAGTTCAAAGCGATCACCGTATTGAACGGACGGGTTGCAGCCTCGTGTGGGACAGTCAATCAGCATATAACCACACTTCCTCACATCCTGCCCTTTCAAGAACAAGGGGAAGATTTCTGAACATCCCAATTTCGCATCCTTGCAGCTCGCTCGCACTCCGAAGAAGCTAGGCTTAAAGGCAAGGTTTCGTGAACAGAGCTTCTCAAACTACACGAAGCTTACCGCTCAATGCCTTAACAAACTTCGTTGACGCAACAGCCTTTACACCCAAGTGACCTAATGGACAATCTGGCCTCGCACTATAATACAATGAGGTAGACGACGTGGGAAAAAAACCACCAAATTAAACCACCAGTTGGTTCGGTGACGAAATATGTGGCCACATCATCAAGGAAATGAGGTGAGATGGCATGCCAGCTAGGGTTAAGCCTCACTCTGACAAGCACGTGTGAACAATGCTCTCCTCCCTTGTATCGAGCTCCCTCTGAGTTGCCTGTGCTGCGTCCATCTGGCCCGTGCATCTGACTCATAGTTGTCTCTAGAAGCAACCTCGGGAGTAGGACGAAGCCGATTTTCAATTTGCGAAAGCGTGAGCTCTTGTTGATCAACATTGGTGAGGTGGGTTTCAGATCTGAGCTAACAGAGCGCTTGATCTCTTATTTTCATTTCAGGAAGTAGCGTTAAATTGGGTTTGTGTCGAGGGTTGGGGGATTTGGTAATTGAGATGTTTTTGGGGATTGCTGTTTTCCTAAGTGTGACGTGGTCGACCTAACTGCGTTGAATTCTACTGGATTGCTACGGCATGGATAGATGAGATTTTGGCTGCTCGTTTTGTCAGTGTCCCCGTTTTTTTCATTTCTGATTATGTTTCTTCGCGAAGGGATCGGACATCTTGAAAGATTTGAAGGTAGTGCTGTGTTACGTGCTAGGTATCCGGAGGTACCCAAATGTGCAGGGTTTGATAGCTACCGAATAATCTTAACTTCGGTTCGTTAGTCCCTGTATTTGATGTATATTTATATAGTTTGCAAGTGAGGAGATAGCAAGCTCTGGAAATTTATGGTGTAGCATTTCTTGGCGTGGAAGTAACTTCTAGCGGAGAAGAGTTAGCAGTATTAAGTAGACTTCAGTTGTTGCGACGAAGTAATGTCTTCTAGTTTTAATTGAGCAGGCGCGATCACATCCCAAGTGATACAAATTTGTTGGATTAAATCAGCATGGGCGTCAATGACAATTCGATGGAGCAGCAGTTGGAGAGGTTGTGGGAGGAGCAAGGTGAAAATGTAGGAGTTCCGCAAAAGGTGCGAGAACTCCTCAATGCGGCATTTACGAAAGTTCCAGTCTCATCATTCCCCAAGCTTCCTTGTGGCAAAGGTACTTGTGTCATCGCTGATTTGCTCGACTCTTTTACTTTTTCATTTGTTTGGCAAGGTTCATGTTACTCTCATCTGTCGTTGCACTAGTTCAAAATGTGGGCAGAGACTGGATCGCGAGTGGTTGATTTGGTATGCTTTGTTGGCATTGTCGGGATTCGTATTGTCCTTTTATTTATTTCAAGTATTCCTCATTTCTTTCTTTCTTTCTTTCTGTCTTGCTCACGAGCAATTTAGGACTTATTAAACAATTTGCTGGATCGCAGTGCTGGAAATCTCAGGCGATGCGTCCATATCAGATGCTGTGCACCTGCTTGCAGAAAATAACATCTTTTCAGCTCCTGTGAAGGACCCGCATGCGACTTCTAACGATCCATGGTCTGTACAATACATTGGCATCGTTGATTATGCCTCTATTATTTTATGGGTGCTAGAGCAGGCTGAGTTGGCTGCAGCTGCGATAGCTACTGGATCAGCCACAGCTGCGGGCATGGGAGCTGGAGCTCTAGGTGCACTTGGAGCCCTTGTGCTTGGGCTTACTGGTCCATTTGCCATTGCTGGTGTTGCAACAGTTGCTGTTGGGGCTGCAATTGCAGGTCAGTTAAATTATCGGAACTTGGCTCGACCATATTTTCGGCTTGTGTTTCATTCTACGTACATTCTTTCCCGATTTGTCTTCTCGTTCTAGCGATTCTTTGAGTTCCTGTGCATTTTTCTGAGAAGTGCCTTGTGCGTCCCTTTGTCTGACTGTAGGTGGAGCTGTAGTAGAAAGAGGTGTTAAGGACGCATCATCTGCAGTGGACAGCCTTGGTGAAGATTTTTACAAGCTCATTCTTGAAAATGAGCCATTCAAATCCACCAAAGTATGTTAGTGTTTTATTGCTACCTGCTTGTTTTGTATACTTGTATGTTATTCCTTGTTTAAACGTTGATTAAACATATATCAGAAGCATGCCAATCTCGATTCTGAGATTACTGATCGTTTTTGATGTTGTATTGAGGTCATTACACAATTTATCTAATTCACGCAGGTGGAGGAAATCACAAGGTCTTACAGATGGGCTCCATTTCTGCCGGTTCAACATGATGACTCTATGCTGACTGTGCTACTGTTGCTTACTAAATTTCGACTGCGGAGCATTCCAATCGTAGATATTGATCACGGTATCGTTCAGAATATGATCTCTCAATCATCAGTTGTGAGAGGGTTCTCTCAATGCAAGGGTCGCGATTGGTTTGATTGCCTTGCCGGAAAATCGATCCAACAACTCGGCCTTCCTGTCATGGCGCCTGATCAGGTACTCTGTTTAGAAATACAACATAGGAAGTGGTTAAGTTAGTCTTTTTCCTTTTCTATTATTTTTATTTTTATGGTAGTGACAGTTGAGGCAAACATTCACCCTGCCTTTGTAAAGGTTTGATTAAGATATTCTGGAATGTTAAAGCCTTCTTGTTGGATGGCATACAGGTAGTGTCTGTAGATGCAAGCAAATTGGTGTTGGAAGCTTTCAAATTGATGAAGGAGAAGGGTATTGGAGGCCTTCCTGTTGTGGCTGGTCCTGATCATCACATTGTAGGAAGCATCAGCGTTCGCGATGTTCGGTTTCTATTGTTAAAATCTCATCTTTTTGCAAGACGCAGGTTAGTGTTGTGGAGTTCTTATACATATTTGCAGCTTTGTGTTTCCCTATTAACTTCGTTTCATTTGCTACATTTCTAGGAAACAAATTCTGACAAGGAAACTTAGTGTACTAGTCTTCATGACACTGTGAAGCAAACGATGTTTTGAATTTGTTTGACAGTCACTTGACCGTACTGGAGTTCATGAAAACGATTTCGGAGGTGGAGGCACAAGTCGGCACAACACCCCCTGTGACATGCGAAAAGTCGGATTTACTTGGGAAGGTGATAGAAACTTTGGCAAGCAAAAATCTGTACCGCATTTATGTAGTTGATGAGACCACTCGGTTATTGGGGGTCATTACGTTGCGAGACATTATCAGTTGCTTTGTGTCGGAGCCACCAGGTTTCTTCGATGGCTACTTTGGCGGAGCTTTCAAGGAAGCTTTTGAGAGATCAGAGGGCCACTTTGTATCGGGGTGAAGTGCTGTTGGTTGTTACCGTCGCTTCCCGAGAGGGAATTTCTTGTTCAGTTTGGCTGACGACTTCTGGCATTCAGTAACGGCCATATGGTTAGAAGTCAATTTACTATCTCTAATGAAGGTCTGTCAATTTAAAAAGAAATTAGTTGAAACCAACGTAAACAATTTGTAAAAGGTTGGCTCGGCTGTGAACTTGAGACTTGCACTGCTGTTTAAATGAAACACGGGCCAAGTACCTCGTCTTTGTTAAGTGTACTATTTTTGCCTGCACTGTCACTGTTATCAATGTTGCATTCATGCCATATTCAATGAGAACTATCGGGTAGCTCTGTATTGAATAGGTGTTGTGTATGGAATGGTGTGTATTGTATTCAAACCGAGTTCTTGTATTGGTTGGATATTTATTTGTTGAACTTGTTTTCGATCAGATCAGAGCGGTAACATAATCAGGCTTGTTGACTGTGTGGCAGTTCTAGTTTTACTACACGTCTTGTCTCTCCACCATAATCAAAGCAACTCCAGTTTCATGTGACTGTTGCAATCAGGGCGAGTTATTTAAAGATGAAGTTTATCATTTAAATGAAACATTTAGTGTTAAATATAGATTTACCCTTATTTGCAATGTGAGAATATCCATCAAAGCTATCTCCTCATCAAAGAAAACAAAAGATAAATGAAATTGTGACCCTGAAAATTTGTGCATACAAAAGAAAAATTATGGTAGGCAAAAACCATTATAGTTTTTTTTTTTTTTTTTTTTTTTTTCATACAAATAATAGTTATTTATTGATTTTTTCTATCTTGTTTGTGTAATAGATTTAGATGTTTTTTATTTTTATTTTTTATAATCAATTCTAAAATAAACATATAACTTATTGTTACTTGATTTTTTAATCTAGAATTATACTTTGTAAGAATATATATATTTATATATATAAATATATATATATACACACACTTACATACATTTTTTATATTTATTTTTTATTTACCATCTTTGTGGTGTCATTGTATGAAACCTCTTTAAGCTAAATATTTTTATTATTTTGATTGTAAATATATATATATATATATATATATATATATATATGAAATTAACTACTAAATCAGGTTTTCTTATCAAATTGTCTTTATAACTTAATACATTTTTTTTGGGCTATATTGTATAAATTTTAGTGTTATTAATTTTTATATAAAGTTTTTTGAAAGATAGATTGTCATGTAAGATCCCTTTTATGTGTTTTGAATTCTTCTACTTTACCAAAAAAATTATATTTAATGGAAAATAAATTTCTAAGGTATAAATAAAATTAGAATTAATAAAAAAAAATCATTCAATTTATTTTTATATATGTTGATTTTATAACAATCAGTCCAACTATCTAATTTATGATTTGATCTGATGCATTCTTTAACTTGATTTCTTTTTTTATTCATTCTTTTAACTAAAAACATATATAAATTTTTGCTTATAGCTAATAAAATCTTAGAAAATTTTTAAATAGTTTTGTTGCAATTTTCTAGAATCTCGAAAGAAATTTTAGGAAAAACTTTTATATTCAAAAAAAAATGTAATTTAGATCTTTTTATTATGTTTTTTTAAAATAAATTAAATATTTCAATTCATATAAGCTGCATTTAGTAATATTTATACAATGACTCATTTTTATTTTACATCTATAAAATAGTTTTTAGCAAAAGTAAAATTATTATTATTTTATTTTTTTAATTTTTTTTCTTTCTATTTCTTTTGTACGAGCAAAAAATCCTTGAAAGATTAAGTTGTGATACATACATATATATATATATATATATATACATATCTATCTAGATTATAACATTTTTTTTGGGATACTTTCTTGTTTTATTAAGTAAACTTTGGAGATTATTTTTAATGAATGATAATTCAACAAATCACTTGAGCCCAAATGATCACTAAAGTCTTGAAATTTCTTTGAGAATGGTCAATTTTTTCACAGATATTCTAGTATATCATTGATAGTAAATCTGTTTTGTTTTATCCAACAGTTTGTGTAAAATTACCTCAGTTCTCGTTCTTATCAATAGAAAATAACATCAGTACTATCTCACTTAATTCAATTATCATCAAAAAATATTTGACACTCTATTGACACATTGATTCTGATAGTAAAACAGTGTGTTGGCTACATTTGTAGTATTTTCCAGAAGCAAAAACATCTAAAAGTGATCCATGTCATGGTTGCAAATGGTACTTACTGAAACTACTAAACTTGAACAGGTTTACATGCCACATTCCATAGTATCAAGTTCATAGGAGAAGCTTGAGCCAGCCATTACTTTGTAACAAATGACCTTAACTGCAGAACTTAGGCAATTAAAGACAGGTTTGTTATTTACATTACAATAAAAGGGGTTATTCACAATGTAGAGTTATGCAGGAAATCACACCTCCAGAACTGCCTGTTGCTGTTCGCACCCTTGAAAATGGAGGCTATCCCTTCAAGCAAACCAAGCACCCAAAGTTAGGTGGGGCTTCTGATGGTGTGAGTTTGAGAGATGGAGAAGCCGCAGCCACGTAGTCAGGATAAAGGGATGAGCTGGCATGCCAGCTAGGACAGTTGCTGCTCTGTATAGGCTGGATGTTTGTGTTATCTATCTTCACCGATGTGCTGTTGTAACCTCATCTCTCCCTGCGCTGTCCTGACTATGGCGCTTCCCCATTTCTCCCCTCTGGCTTTGCCCTCCGCCACCGCCACTGCCACCCTTCAGCACTTCCGAGAGCCTTTTCTTGACGCTAATCCTGTTTGCCTTGCACCCACTTTCGGAAGGGTCGTCAAATCGTCGCCGCCTCAGGTGAGGTCTGAGCTGAGAGCTTCAGCATTCTTGAGAGGGAGTGGGGAGGGACTCCTTGACCAGCGACGGGTGGGAGTTGGTGCCAGGAGGATGGATGGTAGTGCTCTTGAAGTTCACTCTGCTGCGAACTATCTGAAGGATGCTGCGAGGCAAACGGTTCGTTGTTTTATCCCTTAGTTGTGTGTTTCGACTGACAGAAGAGTGTTTTCAAGATAAAGCAGGCATTTGAGCTTGAGGGACCGCACGTGGGAAGCTTTCACTCCTGATGATTCCTTCGATTGAGCCTATCATTTAGTCTAGTGCAATCAATTCGAGGCACCTGAGATGCATGGAGTGGTTAAAGGGTATTTAAAATTCTTATCCGATCTCGATTGTAAATTATGCTGAGTCCTCAGCTTCTGTGAACCTCCGATTCTAGGGCATAAACGTGCGTTAATGGAATGTATTGTCCTCCGACTTATATATTGGCCAATTGGATGTCAATTCCAGAGGTTCTACAGCTGCGGACAGTTTTAGCACCATGTGCTGAGGAGTTATTTTCACTGATGGTTCCGGATGTACTTCAATGTGTCATTGGCAGAGTGCCTTCTTGTTTAATCATTGATTAACGATCATGAACTAAAAATGCGTCGCAAGCTGCAGAATACGCTTTGAAATTAAATATCCTAAATCTAGCGAGTTTGACGTTGAATTGTTGCCTGCGCAGGTAGACTACTTTGTGAAGAGTGGAATGTCTGTCGGTCTTGGAACAGGACACGCTTCTGGCATGGCCATTGCCTACATCGGCGAAAGGCTTAGAGATGGCACCCTCAGAGACATTATTTGTGTACCGATGTGAGTGTATTCAATTGCTATTCTAATTGTAACGTTTAATGCAATTCGGCGCCCGCCTTCCTTTGTAATGCGAAGTGAATTTTCTATCCGTGGCTTACGGATCATTGTCAATGCTCAGGTCAAGTGCAAGCGCTGCAGCCGCAGCCCAGGCAGGTGTACCGTTGACGACATTTGAGGACCAACCACAGGTGGAACCATCATATCTTCAGAGAATTTATCTCTTGATCATGTAGCATGCATTGCAATGTAAGAGTAAAACTGCAGATTGTACGTAGACAATGAAATTACCTTGTTGGTTGTCTGCTTACCTGGACTGTCTCGGCAGTTGGATGTTGCATTCGATGACGCAGACATGGTGCAAGAAGGTACTCTCTTTGCAGTTATCGGGCGTAAGGGAGTCGAAGGCCGCCAGTCAATCTTAAAGGAGAAAGTAAGGTGTGCTGGCCTCACTTCTCATCCTTCCCTCTCTCCGTTAGGTGGACACTTGCGAGTAGCCCTGTTTGAGAAGCTCAACGGAATCATTTTTAGAACGATCCCTTCTGAATTTCAAGGGTCAGCTGCAGTTAGTCATATGAGCCTATAGTTGAAAGGAGGTAGAAAACTGAATTTCAAATGCTTTTGAATCAGTTTTTTATCTAGAGGTTGTAACGTCCATGCTGAGCATTTCTGTTGGGCAGGCTATAATGCAAGCAGCGAAGCAGTTAGTTTTCATCATTGACGAGAAACAATTCGTGGGCAAGTTGGAGGGTGCAGTGCCTGTCCTTATTCAACAGGTATACTATTTTCGCTCTGCAGCTTCTCAATCGACGGCTTTGATAGTTGCTGAGAGAATGCACATGGTTGTGATATGTCATTTAGGTTAATGGTTCACGCTGCAACCAATCTAGCATCACATCAATGCACCTTTTTCTAAATATTGAGCTCTCGATTGCTTTCCTATGCAGGAAGACTGGTTAGATGTGGCAGAAGAAATCGATGACATGTTTCTGGGCGATGCAGAGGTATAGTTACGTATGAGAAGTCGTAAGATATGATTCGTAGAAAATCTGAACTTGTTCTTGATTCTGGTGGGATGTGAAACATTTTGGTCCTGGGATCCTTCAGCTCTGCTCCTACAATCCTTCAGCATTGCGTGAATGCGAGGTCCAGTTCTGACTCACCTTCTCATGCAGGTCTGGAGACGGCCAAGCTTTGGAGAAGCAGGACCATTGGGTGGTGATAATCCGCTAATCACACCTGAAGGGCACTTTTTGCTGGACGTGATCTTCACGACTCCTATTACTACTGCAGGTTCAACAATCCTCTCAAACTTGGAGATTTTCCATGTGTGCATCTTTTGAATGACGCCGTCTCATGTGGAATTAGGAATCTGATAATAAAAGAACGGACGGTTATAGCCTCCACTTATCAAACAATTTGGGACGTGGATGCAGCTGACGTGGTAGAGAACTTGGAGACTGTACCAGGAGTCATGGGACATGGTCTTGTGATGGATGTAGCGTAAGTTGCTTCAACCTGTTAAAACTTGACACGCTGATGCAGTGCATGTGAATCTTGTACATTTTTCTTTTCTCCCATACGTGTTTCTTACCCATAGCAACGGTTCTTTACTATTTGCAACATGGTTGCAGTTTTCTTCTAACTCCACCATGTAATCCTATGGGCTGTTGCACTCCTTGTATTTTTCTCGTTGCAGGTATGCTGCAGCTGTGGCAAGTCCTACAGGGATGAAACTCAGAACATCTTTATTCAAAACTGCGTTCACTGCAATGGAGTGAATACTTGAAGGATGAAGTAGAGTATACACGGTGCAACGCTTAGTACTACCTCGAGAAGTATAGCTCAAATTGATCGACGTTATGCAAACAGTATGCATCGTTTTGAGAAAAAAGTTATGCAAATTCTTCATCTTTAATCAACAGTGATCAACGGTCACATTTCTTAAACACCGCCGTAGTGATAAAGTAGAAAAGGAGCTGGATCTGTAAAGCTTACTCTTATTGGCACCCATCCTGAATTGAGGAAATCATTTTACACCTTACCAAGCAGATCGAATGTCCATATTTGGGTGCGATACCATTCTGGCAACAAAAAGTTACACTAATCTTGTGTGTTATTATTACATGGGCCTCGGAGAAGACACATATCAACAATTTTGCTGTCTGGTAGACAAAATTTGAACCATTTTGATCCATTCTCACATTCAGGCTCCAGTTTAATGATCTATTTTGCCAACTTTGGCAAACAACTATTAATGAACGATCAACTTTATGAAATTTAGCAACATTCAAATTGTAAAGTTTATCAAAACTAATTTTTTAATTTGATTTGAAAGATATTTGGTTTAAACTAGAAGCCTATAAATAAGATATATGAAAATGATTCATGGTAAAAGGAGTGGCAATCAATGCATGGATAACTCAAGCAAATAACAAAATCTTGATCTACCTCTATCCTACAATTTACATCAAGAAATATATGTGGCCACTTGTTGATACAAATCATTCCACCAATATTGGTTGTACAATATGGAATATGTCTAATACTCTTCAAAATATCCAAGCTCTTCATGCACTTGCCATACCAAAGAAGCTCTTTTATTTGGCTTTAGAATTGTGATCCTAGCTCCATTAGGCCACATACAAAATAAAAACTTATTTTCTTAATAAAACCTTGTTATTTAGTGACTAATTCCTATCTCTTTTTATATAGAGACAGTTGAAGGAAATATTCCTTATAAAAGCTTATATAAGACTACTAGATCTTCCCACTCATTACTAATTACTTGGTTCTAATTCAATTCTTTATCTAAATTTTAATAAAAGATGATAATTATAGAACCTAACATCAAAGTCAAGTATAAGGTTGCATACCATCCAAAGACCGCCTCTCTATTACAATCTCCATACTATCTAGCTTTAGTTAAGTCCTCTTTTAAATGACTTGGATTAGAAAAAAAAAATCTATTAATATCCAAATTAGTATTGTCTATCCAATGCACAACCTCAAAGTCATATTTTTGAAGCAATAAAGTCTATCTAGCAAATTTACTAATAAGCTTGTGTTATTCTATAAGCCACTTCAAAGATTGATGGTCAATTACCAATATAAATTATTAACCATACAAGTAAGGTGAGAAGTGAATAATGACCCAAAGTATTGCCACTTCTACTACACTCTAATCAATATGTAGTTGGAAAGGTTTAATAGCATCTGGACATTGAAGTACAAAAGCAAAACCTAATTTTTGCTTAAACATGTCAAATGCATATTGTTTCTCACGACCTTAAGTCCATGGTTGATCCTTGTCCATGAAAATAGTAAAAAACTTGGCAATCAAACTAAAGTTCTTAATAAATCTTTAATATTAATTTATCAACCAAAAAAAAACTTGAAGTTGCGAAACATTACTTGGTGCAAAGAATTTTTGCAAGCATCTATTTTTGTTGACTGCATGTCAAGACTTCTTGAAATAATCATATGACTTGAGTATGGTAGCTATTTGTAGAAGAATTTATACTTTCTATAATACAAGCATAATTTCTATTATAATAATTTTTCAAATATTACTTCTAAATGTCTCACATGATCTTATAGATTGCTATTAAAAATAATAAACCATTAAAATAGCATCTAATAAATGACAATTAAGATAGCACCTAATCCATCATCCTTTAAAACTCAATAGGTGCATTCTTGAGGCCAAATAGAAGAAACTTTTAATAATAGAGTTAATCTATGCTATTTTGATCAACTCTTCAAAATATTACCTTTATGTAATCTTCAATAAGTAATGGTAATTGGTGATAACTAGATATAAAATCCAATATAGTAAATACTTAAGAAAATCCTATTGTATGAAATAACTCTTTTAGTATTGACATTGGATACCAATTAGACTTGATTTTATGATTAATTTGAAGATAGTCTCTACACATTTGCTTCTCTATCTATTTGCTAAAGCCATTCTTCTTCTAAGGCATAATTGTAGTACAAGCATACTTTCCATTGGAAAACTCAATTAAGCCTATAGCCAATAATTCTTAGTAAGAAGTATGGATGTTAGTTTTTTCTAAGATATTAAGCTTCTAAGGTTGTCAAAAGATTGAATAATTATCTTCCAACTAGATGTGAATAGATTTGCCTCTATAACTTTTAAGGTCTTTAATGCTAAAAACAAAAAAATTCTAATACAAGCAAATGAAATCATGTATCTTTTGTGCTTTGGCACCAATAAGATATGGTCCTAATTCCAATGGCCACTCAACAAACTTTGTGGTATTTTTTTCACTAATAAAGTACCACTATATGTTGGTATAGCCTTTAATTGCTAATTTGCTAAAAAAATAACTCCTATGCCTCCAACATCCTCAGTTATAGCCAAATGATGGGCTTCATCACTATAATATGTATTTGAATTGACAATATTAATAGGACATAGAATATCTTCTAGAAATAAATTCCATGAGAAAATCTCTTGAGTATTTTTTTTTTTTCAGCCTTTGGCTAAAGTAACAAAGACACATTGAGCTTATAGCTCATTATTTGTATGCTACTTTAAGTAAAAAAGTAACTAAGATTCTTTAATTTTAGTAAGTTCAAGAGCCATTGTTCCTTGAGTGTTGTTCTTTGACTTTAAAGTATTAAAATAGTCATTAAAATACTTTTGAATCATAAGGCATATGCCAAAAATCTATACTAGAGTGTCAAAGTCCATAGCCTAATTTAAGAAAAAAATATCTCTTAGTGATATCATAAGCAACCTTGGTACCAATGAAAAAGCCTTTGGCATACCATTTTCATCAACATTAGGTTCGTTATAGATTTAAAAATTAGCATCTTAAACCATGCCAAGTCCATGTGCCCAAAATACAAATGATATGAGAAATATTACAAAGATTAGAAATGCATCATGAGGTGCCTCTACCTTACTAACTAAGGCAAGAGAAGGCTCATCATCCTTAATGACAATCAATAAAATATAATTATCATGTAAGGTGTCATCAATTTGACATCAAAGAAGTTGTTTGACTCTAAAAAGTATTATTGTAAGTATGTGAGACAAGGCCATGTTGCTTTAAATCTAACAAGGTTGATGGGTATAAGAGTCCAAATCCACTACATCTAAAAAATTTGAAAGACTAAGGAATTGGTGAATATATTGACCAAATTTTAATACTTATATTTTGATGGTTTTTTTATAGAGTTTTATTTTCAAAAATATATCCATGTGGTGTGGTTTAATGCACAAACCACTATTATGTAAGTTGCATAAAATTTATAAATAAACTAAATCAATGATCATCTAAAACTTACCTTATTCAAGTATGTAAATGATATTAATAAGGCCATTAATAAATCAACAAATCAATATTATTTAATTTTTTCAAATCTTTACTATTAATGAAGGTGATATTTCAAGGAAATTTACTAAAATAACAAAGAATAGTAAAAAGTTGAAATTTCTTAGTTATTAAACTAACAATTTTTGGATGTGATATTAAGCTACTTGATTAGGCACATTTTTGGTATCCATATGAATGTACTATCTAACAATAAGTCCAAACCCCACTATTACTACCAAACATGTATTAATACCTATAAAGAGCTCCACAAAGGTAATACCTTCATCTTATAGATATAAATGAATAGCTTGAATAAATATAAATAACAAAAAATAATTTAATAACTTTAAAATATCTAATGAAGATATGATCTCTTAACATTAGCAAGAGAGTTTTATACATATTTTCTATAGAAGAGATGGATCTTTTCAATATCTTACATAACTTTTAAAGATAATGAATTATTTGATTCTATAGAATTGGATATAAATACTAATATTTTTTTGATAGAATTGCTCTACAAAGAAAGTTTGATGCTAATACATTACAACCAAATAAGGTTTCTATTGATATAATCATAATAATTGTTACAAATGTTATTAGAATGATTTTTTATTTTTATTTTTTATTTTTTTTTATCACTAATAGACCATCCTGGTGTAATTTATATTTTTTTAATCTAATTATCTAAACCAAAACCAAATAGATAAAGTGCATACTAATCAACTAAAATATCATAATTGGTGGCACTAATGACTTCTACATTAGAGATAAGTATGAGTAAAGTGGTTTAAATCTAATACAAAATATAAAATACAATGGCCGCTTAGTATAATTGGTAGCTTGCTTCATACTTCTTAAAGTAATAATAGTAATATGACAAGATTATAATTTTTAATAATGAGTCTTATATCTTGAAAAAGCCGCTTATTATTAATAACTAATTGAGCATCAAAATCCATCATAATATATAAAGGTGTGGCACAAGTGATATTACTACTAGTACAGTTAATAATAAATATATTATGTCATTAACTAATTGTATAAGTTAAAAATATAAGTTTCAACATTCTTGAGCACGTCTAATAATAATGTTGGACAAAAATGCTATTCATATACCTAATAGGACCTCACATGAAGGATTCATATTTATTTCTATTAAGTAACTTTCATTAAATATAACAATAGTTTCATCTACATACTTTACTTATAATTTAGCCAAATCATCTTCAATTGAAGGCTTTGTGACTATTTGAGCCATTTGTAAAGATGGTATTGGCACCTTGATTTCTAATATTTTACCAGCAAATTAAAAAATCTCTACTTATTTAAATTTTGGAGCCAAATTAGTAGTGAAAAATATAGGCATATTCAATACTTTGTAAGCCAAAGTATATAGTGTGTCTTTAATATTAGTATCTCCATCTTATATTGAAGTTGAAATAAAAGGCCTTATTGCAAAATTAGCATTTGTAAGGCCAAATAATAATAAAAATTACATATGAGTACTAAGATCTCCACAATTACTTGAATAGCTAGATAAAATTTTAATTGCCTTGCTTGTTGTAGGTACATTATTCTTAGCCATTCTTTGAAGACATGTGATAGTTACAACTACTATTTGTTTTAATGCACCGAATATATGATTTTTTAAAGTAAAAAAACTTGTTCTACTTCTAAAATTAATATAAAATATAATAACT